TAGAGTGTATTTGTGTAGTATGTGGTGTGTTGAGTGTGTGTGGCATGTTGATCATGAGGTCACGGAGTGTTACTCTGTGTGTTGGATTAAAGTTAGAGGCATTAGTATCACATAAGCTGCATTCCAAAGTCTAGGCTACAGCCAAGGTAGGGTGGGTCCTCGGTAGGACTGTCCTATTAAGACTCCTCCTTAGTAGCCTATTGGTCACACAAATAGAACAGTCATAGCAAGGCTGCATGCCAGAGCGGCGTGAAACTCGTGAGGGAAGTCAGCTCTGGGGAAAGGGTGAGAGAAAGTTAAGCTCGTTGCATTGTGTTTGTTGCTTTTTCATCTCTTCACAAAAAATAGAGGAGATGTTCTTATGTAGTACAATAAACTACATATATACAAATACTTCTTAATATGAACGAATGCTTTAACTAATCAGTCATTTTACACTTTATAAGGTAACAAAGACAAATTCGAACAACACGAACAACTTACATTTTAAAACAAGCTCTGCTCCAACAGCTTTGTTTTCCACCATTTTTGGAAAATTTCACATTTGCAGCAAAATGAAAATTAAAACTAAATATATTAAAGTGCAGATAGAAAAAGTGAGTCAACTGAGTAATATTGGGCTCTTTTGCCTACATTTTATACTTTTCCTTCATTCAGATCAACTTGTACAAGTTTGCGTTTCAGTTTGCGACATGCACACTTTTGTCAAAATTGCTGCACAGCTATCAGAATCACAATTGTGTGCCCTGAAATCTATTCCTTAATTGTAAAGTCTGAATTGTAAATGTGTTACAGTTTGTGACCTTGAAAGTGAAAGGGCAGATTTAAGCTTTACTTATGATGTTTGTGATGCGTTCATTTAGATTAACTCACACAAGTTTGTGTCTCATTTCCTTACATGCAAACTTTTGACAGGGCTGAGCGCTCAGAATCGTAACGGTACAGCCCAGAAAAGTGTGTGATGGCGGCCGCGAGAGCCCACAGGCTCAGAGTGGGGACGAACCCCGACGAGAATGGCCCGGAGAGGAACACTGCGAGTGGGGGGGGGGTCCTGAGCCCCGCCTCCTGGGCGCCGCCTCCGGTCCCGCAGCGAGGCCACATTAATTGGCCTCATGTTCGATCCGGGCGGACGAGCTGCAGGCGGGGGCGGTGACGAGGAGGCGGAGCAACGAGCTCTCCTTCCCTCTAGGCTCAGGTGCTCACGCTGCCCCTTAATGAGAGCCAGCTGATGCTGATCTAGCTGGCAGCATGAGTGCCTTTTAAAAAAGAGCAGAGAGGGAACAGAGGGAGAGAGGGAGGTATGAGCAGCAGCAGAAGAGACTGAGTGAAGAGCTGAAAAGCTTGTGTGAAGAAAATGACTGAAAAGACACTGAAAAGCTTACAGCTTAGTGTAGGTTCTGTTTTTGTTTGCTTTGTTTATTAATGAATAAAAGTGAAATGACTGCTGCAAACGTTTTTCCTGCCTCCAGCATCCTCCTTGAGGCCCGGGTAGCGCATGCCATGCTACGGTTAGCATTACTGCTACTAAGTGCTGATTGGTTAGCATTGCTGCTACTGAGTGCTGATTAGTTAGTATTACTGCTAAGTGCTGATTGGTTAGCATTGCTGCTACTGAGTGCTGATTAGTTAGTATTACTGCTAAGTGCTGATTGGTTAGCATTACTGCTACTGAGTCCTGATTGGTTAGCATTACTGCTACTGAGGCCTACTGAGTGAATCTTCAGCATCTGAACACATAACATGCACAAACTAAATTAAATCATGAATGTACAGTAAAAAGAATATGGGTCCCAGAACACACCCCTGAGTACCCCACACCTTATAATTATGTAATCTTCTTTACATGATGCACCTGTGTAGGATTTGTTGGTTATGACCTAGTTTATGGTCAGCATACTGAAACACATGATCTTTAACTTGATCAACTGATAAAATTATTTGATCTACTGTGTCAAATGTTTGAAACATTGCCTCATTGCAAAATCTCCCTCCGTCCTCTTCTCTTCTAACAAGGTCTGACAACATGAGCTGAGCCAACAGAATGAAATTTACCCTAAAAAAAGAATTAATAACTGAATGTTAATGACTAAAACAGAACTGAAGAAAGAGTAGAACACTTTATTAATATATTAGAGCAGAATTTGAGTATCAGTGTTAGCATTTAAAAAGTACACTGAAAACCATACTTATGTACATCAGAACAAATTGCCTTTTTTATTGTCTGTCCGGAATTTTACATTTCAAGTTGCTCTTTACAATGTGTTATATTTTTATGATGAATGGACCAATAGAAATGCTCCAAAGTTACGCTGAAGTTGTGTGTCTTCTCTTATACACATTTAATAAAGATGTTTTTTTAGTAAAGGCAATGATTATTCTTAGAACCATGAGTTATATGTAGAACCATTCATACTTAAATGGTTCTTTGCATGGTGAAATGGTTCTTTACAATAATGGAGAATGTGTTGTATATGATTCTGTACAGAAACTTTTTTAAAATGGTCTGTATATCACCCATAAAGGGTTCTGCTATTGTTACAATGTGAATAGAATTACTATTTTGGTGCTACATAGAACCATTACTTAAAGAGCCCTTTGAAGAACCATCTATTTTAAATGTGTAAAGTTGCCATTTAGGAGACATCAGATATATGAAAACAAGCCAGCCTGAAAATAATCAATAACAGAAAAATGGAAATTACTCTCATTAAGCTGAATCACCTCTGACAGTCTGGAGTTGGAGTGTAATTAATTTCAGTTAATAAAGCTGGGTTCAGGCCTGTATTTCCACATTTGGCCACTAGGGGACAGCAGAGGCTGCTGTAAGTGTTGCCCCGTCCCCCCCCATCCCCCATTGAAGCCCACTTGAGAGTCTGAGTCTCCAGTGAATCCACTGCAGGCTGATTATTATGGTCATTAAACAGCTGTACTGTTTAATGTACTGTTTAACTCTCTAACGAGGCCGGAGTGCAGTGCCGCCCCTGAGACCGCAAAACAATCCAGCTGTAAACATGAGTGTAAATCCAGCTGTAATTTACGAGGCTGTAAATAAAGCTGCTGTCAGTGAGATCCTCAACACTGTGGGAGAAAACAGAACTGATCAGCGCTCGACAGTAAAGAGTACCTGCACACCTCGCACTCCCTTACATCATCATAATCATCATAATCATAATAATCAGAACATATGACAACCTTTTCTATTACACAGATATTTAATAGTATTTTATTTCCAGTTTTATTCAGTCTTTTCTGTCTGATTTCATGTTTGAGTCTATTTTCATCTTAAAAATCTGTCAAAAAATGAATTTCCTTTACAACCCCATTTCCAAAACAGTTGGGAGGCTGGGCAGAACGTAAGTAAAAATAGAATGCAATGATATGCAAATAATGTAAACCATATTTTTAAAGGAAAATACTACAAAGACAGCAAACTGAGAAATTTTTGAAACTGAGAAATTTTATTGTTTTTTTTTAAATGTATGCCCATTTTGAACGTGATGCCAGGACACTTCTCTGCTTTCCCTCAGTCCATTTTAAATGAGCTTGGGCCCAGAGAAGGTGGCAGCATTTCTGGATCCTGTTTATGTATGGTTTCTTCTTTGCGTTTTAGAGTTTTAACTTGCATTTGTGGATGCAGTCCCGAACTGTTTTCACAGACAGTGGTTTTCAGAAGTGATCCTGAGCCCATGCATTGGTTTCCACTACAGAATCATGTCTGTTTTTAATGCAGTGCCATCTGAGGGCCCAAAGATCATGGCCAGCAAATACTGTTTTTTTTGGCCTTGACCCTTGCATATAGAGATTTCTCCAGATTCTCTGAATCTTTTTTTCTGAATCTTTTAATATTATGTACGTACTGCAGATGATGAAAAGCAAAAGTTCTTTGCTATTTTATGTTTAGAAGCGTTGTTCTTGAATTGTTGCACTATTTGCTCATTCACAAAGTGGTGAACCCCTCCTCATCGTTACTTTTGAAAGATTCAGCCTCTCTAGGATATTTTTTTATACCCAGTCATGTTACTGATCTGTTGCCACTGAACCGCCTGGTGTTTTTTAGCATTACACAACTGTACCAGCCTTTTGTTGCCCCTGTCCCAACTTTTTTTGGAACGTGTTGTTGGCATCAAATTCAAAATGGGCATACATTTAAAAAAAAACAATAAAATTTCTAAGTTTCAACATTTGATATGTTGTCTTTGTATAATTTTCAATTAAATATAGGATTTAAACAATATGCACATCATTGCATTTTGTTTTTATTTACACTTCGCCCAGTATCCCAACTTTTTTGGAAATGAGGTGGTAAAAAACTGTGTTTTATTCCATTTTATCAAACATCCCTTTTGGAAAGTGTGCTTACATGCACTCAATAGATGCACTCAACTGATTTCTACAGTTATCTGATTATTCAAATGGTCATTTACACACCATACTCCGATCTAGAAATCTGATTAAGAAATCTGAAGACAGCTGAATTTTAGCTCAGTAATCAGATTTCTCAGTAATCTGATCTTAAATATTCTTCATCTTCTAGATCACCTATATACATGTTTTAGGTAAAGTGGCGTGATGTTTAAAAAAAAAGAATCGGCATGAAGTTTGAGACTTACGTTACGTTTATGTGTCACGCTTCCTGGTTCTCATTCGGACTCTCAGACCTCTAAGGACTCCACTTCCCAGAATCCTTCAGTCAGTCACGAGACTATTCCGGCCAATCACAAACCTCCCAACAGATCACAGTCACCTGAATACTAATCACCATCACCTGTTCTACTCTGTATATATACCGGTCTGTTTGAAACTCGTATTTGCGAAGTATTGCCCTTACTTAGTCTGTGCATACCAAGTCGTTTGTTTTTCTGATTGCTACTCCGCGTTTGACCTCGCTTGTTTTTTCGTTTTCGATTTCGATTCTCGTCTCTGTCTTGGCTTTGTTGTTTTGGTTTATGTGCTATTTCTGGTTACGACCCTCGCCTGTTTTTTCGACTTCGCTTTCGCCTATGCCCCTGTATTTTGTCTGCTTGTTCTGGTTATTGGCCTGGTCTGGTGTTAACCCTGTTTACTCCCGTCAGAATAAATCTTCCGGATTAACTTTTATCCGCGTGGTCTGATTTGCAAACCCTGCGTTACAGAATACTTCGCCAACATGCAGATATATAAGGAGCGGATATAAAGGAGATCATCTCGGCTGTGAGTAACCAGGGTGCTATTTTAAATCAGCGTAATCAGTTATTTGAGTCTCTTACTCACTCTGTCGGCTCCCACACATAACAGCAGAGTGAGCAACAACAGCAGTTAGCATCCATAGCGAATAGCCTAAAGGAGATCACCTCTCAGCTGCAGAGCATCAATGCTAGCGGATCTAGTGCAACTAATCCTAGCCCTGTTGTTTCTCTACCAACTCCAACTAGTGTTTTCCCTGTTAGTAAGCTCGAAAGGTTTGATGGTTCGCCAGACCAGTGTCGCGGATTTCTGCTACAGTGTTCGATAGTAACTCGGCTCCGAGTTCAGACACCTCTATTTCATTTTTGATTTCACGTCTTACTGGACGAGCCCTAGAATGGGTCACTGCAATCTGGCCACAGGCGCAATCAGACACATGATCAGTTCGTTAAGAAATTCAAATCCGTTCAAATCCCATCAGCTGAGATCCTAAAGAACTTCCTCACGTCCTTCAGCCGTGGCTCACCACCGAGGGAGTTCCGCTACCCATGCTTCACCTGCCAGTGTCTCCAGCGTTTCCAGCCAGGATCCAGTTCAGGCCGAACCCATGAGGTGTGATTCCACTCCTCTGTTACAGGAGGAGCGGCTTCGAAGATTACAGAGAGGCCTGTGCATGTATTGTGGCGTTGCTGGTCACGTTTTATGTGACTGTCGGGCGCGTCCGCATAGACCTCGGGCGCCGACCCCTGGAAAGCGCGTGGAGAATACTCCACGCGCTAATGTGGTGAGTGCTCCCACAAGGGGGTTGGTTACGAAGTCGTTTCAACTGCCTGTGACTTTGTGCTGCCTCAATTCTGTTTGTTTTTTCAGCCCTAATCGACTCTGGAGCAGAAGGAAACTTCATCCACCGATCCCTTGTAGAACAACTTCAGCTTCCTGTTGAGACCCTTCAAGCATCTCTACGATTATCAGCGGTGGATGGAGACCCAGTTGGAGAGGGTGTCATCGATACACTCACAAGACCTGTCACTATGTACACCAGTGCTCTCCACAGAGAGGAAATCAGCTTTTTTTTGTATTGAACACTTCAGCCTATTCAGTAATTTTAGGTTTGCCCTGGCTGCACAAACACAACCCAAACATTTCCTGGTCCGAACGAGAGATCCGTAGCTGGTCCCCCTTTTGTCACAAACAATGTCTAGAACTTCCCAGTCTGAATTTGAACTCCACATCCATTTAAAGTCCCATTTCTGACCAACCATTAATCATTCCCCCTGATTATGATGACCTGAAAGCAGTTTTTAGCAAGCACAAGTCCACTGAACTTCCTCCTCACCGTGCATATGACTGTGCTATCGAACTCATTGAGGGTGCTTTTCCCCTTAAATCTTGGGTCTACCCCCTAACTCAGGAGGAGGATAGAGCTATGGAGGAGTATATTTAGGAGGCCTTGTCTCAGGGGTTCATCCGTCCTTCCACTTCACCTGCAGCAGCGGGGTTTCTTTTTTTGTGAAGATGGACGGAGGACTAAGTCCTCGATAGTCTATGCACAATCTTAATCTTATTACCAAGTCTTACCCTTATCCGTTGCCACTTGTTCCTGTAGCCTTGGAACAGCTCGGAGGTGCCACTATTTTTTCCAAGCTAGATTTACGCAGTGCCTACAATCTTGTCAGAATCAAAGAGGGAGATGAATGGAAGACTGCATTTATCACCACCAGGGGGTACTACGAATACTTAGTTATGCCTTTTGGCCTTTCCAACACACCTTCCGTGTTCCAAGCCCTTATTAGTGATGTACTAAGAGACATGTTAAGCAAATTTGTCATCGCCTACATTGACAATATCTTCATTTACTCCCCAGATCTTTCCACACACATTGGTCATGTCCGTCAGGTCTTGGCCCGGTTACTAGCTAATCAATTGTTTGTAAAAGGGGAGAAATGTGAATTCCATTTGCAGTCCACATCCTTTCTAGGATACATAATCAGTTCCGAGGGAGTCACCATGGATGACTAAAGTAGACGCAGTACTGAACTGGCCTGTCCCCATTTCTATTAGGGGTTTACAGCGTTTTCTTGGCTTCGCCAACTTTTACCGCAGATTTATTTGAGGGTATAGTTCTATTGCAGCACCCTTAACAGCCCTTCTGAAGGGCAACGCCAAAAAGCTAGCCTGGAACCCCCAAGCTGAGAAAGCTTTTAACTTGTTAAAGTCTGCCTTCACGTCTGCTCCTGTTTTAAAACACCCTGATCCTACCCAGCCCTTTGTGGTTGAGGTTGATGCCTCTGATGTAGGGGTAGGAGCTGTTCTTTCTCAGCGTGTGGGCTCACCACCTAAGTTACACCCAGTGGCGTTGTACTCACATAAACTCACCCCAACTGAGCGCAACTATGGAATTGGTGATAGGGAACTTCTAGCTATGAAGCTTGCTTTTGAAGAATGGCGTCATTGGTTAGAGGGTGCTGAACATCCTTTTCTCGTGCTAACTGATCACAAAATTTAGAATACCTTCGGTCAGCTGAAAGACTCAACCCCCACCAGGCACGTTGGTCCCTCTTTTTCAATAGGTTCCAATTCTCTATCACATATAGACCCGGCACTCGTAATACCAAGGCAGATGCTTTGTCCAGGGCTTTTAATGAGGAGAATCAGATGAATGCTACCCTAGAAAATGTCTTGCCTCCTGAAATAATCATAGCCCCCCATCCATTGGGCGGTAGATGAGGAGATAGATCAGGCCTTAGCGACTGTTGATGTTCCTGAACAATGTCCTCCAAACAAGAAATATGTACCTGGCCAATTCCGAGCCCATTATTACCTGGGCTCATTCATCCCTTTCGTCAGGACACCCTGGGGTGACTCGCACTCAACAACTCATATCAAACCGGTATTGGTGGGAGAACATGTTAGCAATAGACTTTGTTACTGATTTATCCAGATCGGAGGAATACACTACTGTTCTTACTGTCGTAGACCGTTTTTCTAAAGGAGTCAGATTCATTCCATTCCCAGGTATTCCTAATGCTTTCCAAACAGCCGAGGCATTATGTCAATGTGTGTTTCATCTTTTTGGCATCCCTGAAGATATTGTGTCTGAGCGTGGTCCTCAGTTTACCTCCCATGTTTGGTCAGCTTTTTTTGAAAGACTGGGTGTATCTATCAGCTTAACATCAGGTTACCACCCACAATCGAATGGTCAATGCGAGAGAGTTAATCAGGAGTTGAGGAGAAGTTTCTGAGACTGTATAGTCACGACAACCAATCAGACTGGGCACGTTACTTACCTTGGGCAGAAATTGCGCAAAACTCTCATCAGTTCCTCTACAGGTCTCACCCCCTTTCAGTGCATCTACGGTTATCAGCCTCCTTTGTCACCCTGGTAAGCCCTTCCTTCTGATGTTCCCGCAGTCAACGATTGGATAGACCGTAGTGAACAAGTCTGGGAACAAACTCACCAGCATATTGAGAGAGCACTGCGCCATCAGAAACGTCAGGCCGATCGTCGCCGTGGGGAAACCCCAGTATATTCCCCGGGGGATCGAGTGTGGCTTTTGACCAGGGACTTCGGGTTCTCAGAGGGTAGTAAAAAAACTGTTTCTGAAATACATTGGTCCATTCAGAGTTATTAAACAAGTCAATGAGGTTACTTATCAGCTTGAGTTACCATGGCAATACCGAATATGTAATTCATTCCATGTTTCCCTTCTAAAGCCAGTGATCTCTGGTCCGCTGGATGAGGCTTCGCCCGACGTTCGGCCGCCCCCTCCAGTCGAGGTCGAGGGCTCTCCGGTCTACGCTGTGCGCAGGCTGCTGGATTCCCGGAGGAGAGGAGGTGTTCTCCAGTACCTGGTTGACTGGGAGGGCTACGGACCTGAGGAGAGGAGCTGGGTTCCTGCCAGGGATGTCTTGGACCCGGGGTTGGTGGAGGAGTTTCACCAGCGCCATCCGGACCGTCCGGCACCGCGTCCCAGAGGTCGCCCAGTCAGTTCCTCCTTGGGCCGTCAGACAGGACGTTCCGTGAGTGGAGCCTTGACCCAGCGCCGCGCCAGCTCCGGAGGTGTGGCCCGCTTCCTGGTTCTCATTCAGACTCTCAGACCTCTTAGGACTCCACTTCCCAGAATCCTTCAGTCAGTCACGAGACTATTCCGGCCAATCACAAACCAACCAGCAGATCAGTCACCTGAATACTAATCACCATCACCTGTTCTACTCTGTGTATATATATATTGGTCTGTTTGAAACTCGTATTTACGAAGTATTGCCCTTACTTAGTCTGTGCATACCAAGTCGTTTGTTTTTCTGATTACTACTCTGTGTTTCACCTCGCTTGTTTTTTTGTTTTCGTTTTCGATTCTCGTCTCTGTCTTGGCTTTGTTTTGGTTTGGTTTATGTGCTATTTCTGGTTATGACCCTCGCCTGTTTTTTCAACTTCGCTTTCGCCTATGCCCCTGTATTTTGTCTTCTTGTTCTGGTCATTGACCTGGTCTGGTGTTAACCCTGTTTACTCCCGTCAGAATAAATCTTCCGGATTAACTTTTATCCACGTGTCTCTGATTTGCAAACCCTGCGTTACATTATGTCACATCTTCTGTGAGTTTATTGGCTGGTTGTAAAGCAGAAATCTGATTACTGTCTGACTCATGTAGACCTGGAGTTTCCCTTATTATCTGATTATCCAGGAGCATGCAAACACACTGAACCAATTACTCACAATCTGATTTTCTGCAGTTATTGGACTGTTAAGTGCATGTAAACGCACTCATTTATAGATTTGACAAATGTAGAAATACAGCATAACACCTAATTTTTCAAAAAGAATATTGAAAACTAACTGAAAGATTTTTTAAATGAAAGATTTCACACTTGCATCTTCTGATAAACTGTCAATATTATTAACTATTAATATTAGTTAATATTTCAGTTTAGTCATTCTGTAAACAGTTAAACTCAGTATTTAAGATTTAAAACCTGATAGAGGAAATTAAAAAAAATACACAAACTATTTTTAGCATAAATTTGCATAAATACATGAGATTTTATTGCTTGATATATATATATATATTTTAAATAAAAAGGAAATAAGACTTGTCAGGCCAGGGGTGAGTAAACATCACTTTTTATTTTACAGTCAGTTTTTTTTTTTTTTTGTAATAGTTTCACATCATGCAAAGTTACATTTTGCTGTAATTGTGGTGTGTAATTCACTTGTTTTGACCCGGCATACGTTCACACACTTCTCTCGCTTCAGAAGTCAGTTTGACGCTCACCAGCAGGGCGGCGACACTGACGCAAGGCTCAAAGCAGCGGAAGTGTTCCCAGAATTGCGAATACGCCTCAAACGCGAAAGCAACGAAAGCGCTAAAAGCAGCGAAAGCAAAAGCAGCGACGGCAGCAGAGAGCCAGAATCCGCTATTGAGGATGACGACAGAGGCAAAGGTACAGAAACTCAAACCTCACCACAACTCTCCTTTACGCAGATACAGAAACAGCTTCGTCAGAGGGAAACAATGAAAAATATATGCCAATAAAAGGTATGAAAAAGTTCTTTACCACATATATATATATTTACATTTTGGTTCACATTTATAAAAATATCTTAGCTAAGAAATCGAATGTGTAATGACCTACAACGACTGATCGTTTAGAAAAAGGTACAAAATTCACGGCAGAATCACTCCCTATCACATAACAGAACTGTAAATCATCGTCGATCGTAAAAAGGAGGTAGCAACTCTTCGTCTCTTCCTGGTCGTGTTGGTTGTCTTGGTGACGTTGAGAGCAGAACCCTGCCTACTTCCCTGGGAACTCTGGGACGGCACAGCGGTCATTCCTACAATAGTTATAGACTCAGTAGCCAGCCAGAAATGCAGTCGTTATTGAGGAGACTGAGTCTCAGCTTTGTTTCTGTTGCTGTTTCTTTTCTCGTTCAAACACCTGCAGAAGCTCTGACATGCACAGCTCAGTAAAATCACAGAACATGCAGCAGTACTGATTAGGATGAACTGTATGTTGATTGTTAAATCCTCATTGCTGTGTGAAAGGAAGCTCAATAATAACTGCTCGTTTCTGGCAGGCTAATGAAAGTACGACTGCAGGGTCCCACGGCGGCGGACGTCCGTCGTCCAGCAGTGGAACCCACCTCCCAGGGAGTTGGCGTGACGAATGCTCACCTTAATCGTCTTAATACCTGTTAGAACAGCACACAGATGCATGATCAGCACAGAAGAACACAATAACAACAACAGCTTTTTTGTATTGTTTAAATTTACAGCTACTTTACAAAACATCAATAATAGAAAAAAAACAACTATTACAACACAAAAATATACTTCACCCTTAACTTGTTGACTCGCTACTCACCAAGATTCTCAAACATTTTCTGAATGGTAGTCTCGTTGGCGTCCACCATGACACGTTTCTCGTCCAGCATCAAGACGTTCATGGACAGCCACTTGGAGGACATCCAGAGGGGGTGGTCTATTCCAGAAACAGTGAACAGTTATATTACAAATCATGATAAAATTGTAAAACAAAAATAAATAAACCTGTAAATATGAGAATGTGATATATCAACTCAGACTCACCATCAGGAATTAATGGCACTGGTGGTTTCACCACTGTCCAGCCAGCTTTCTTAAACATCTCAATCTGTCAAAACAATTTGTCGTAACAGTAATTCAGCCAATGTTTGACAGCAGTTCAGTCATTCTGCAACAGTAGTTCAGTCTGTTATTAATAACTGATCATTTTCTGACAGTAAATTGATGATTCTATTCAGTTATTCAGTTAATAATTCAGTTATTCTATAACTTTTCATATTTCAATCATTTTGTAACATTTCATATTTCAGTCGTTCTATAACATTCTATATTTCTGTCATTCTGTAATATGCTGTAATTCATTCATTCTGTAACATTCCATAATTCAGTCATTCTGTAATATTCCATATTTCAGTCATTCTGTAACAGTCCATAATTCAGCCATTCTGTAACATTCCATAATTTAGTCATTCTCTAGCATTTCATATTTCAATCATTCTCTAACATTCCATAATTTAGTCATTCTCTAACATTGCATATTTGAATCATTCTGTAACATTTCATATTTCAGTGATTCTGTAACATTCTATAATTCAGTCACTCTGCAACATCCCCTATCTCAGTCACTTTGTAACTTTCCATTATACACACATATGAAGTCTGTGTGTCTGCAGCAGTGCAGCTGAGCTCCCATTCCAAATTTCAGTCATTCTGTAACATTCTATAATTCAGTCATTCTGTAACATTCCATATTTGTCATTCTGTAACATTCCATAATTCAGTCATTCTGTAACATTCTATAATTCATTTTGTAATATTCCATATTTCAATCATTCTGTAACATTCTGTTATTCATTCTATAATATTCAGTCATTCTGTAACATTCCATAATTCGTCATTCTGTAGCATTCCATAATTCGTCATTCTGTAGCATTTCATATTTCAGTCATTCTGTAACATTCCATATTTCAGTGATTCTGTAACATCCCCTATATCAATCACTTTGTAACTTTCCATTATACACACTCTGCAGCTGCAGCAGTGCAGCTGAGCTCACCTGTCGGCAGGGGCGGTCCGGGTTGGACAGCACCAGGCCTGGTCCGATGATGTTGAAGGTGGCGTCAATGTGCATGGGGTTCGGGTCTTTAAAGGAGATGATGTGCACCTTGTAGGTCGGAGCGAGATGACGACGCATCCATTCAATCCCCATGAAGTTAGTAACCTGAGAGCAAGGAAACATTTATATCACTTATACATACAGAATAAAACAGTTGTAAACACACACTGACCGCAGTAATCTCCTCTAAACACACTTTAGTTCACTGATCTAACTGCAGTGCTGTAAGTGTGTGTGTGTGTGTGTGTGTGTGTAAACAGATTGTGTGTGTATTCAGGGCCATCAGTGGAGGTTAAAGATGATGTACAAGCTTTTTTCTTATTTTATACACAGTTTTAATATAAATTAAATTCTGTCTGTTTGATATCATGTGGCTAATTATAGTGTACTGTTAGCATTAGCATATATTAGCATAAGCTCTGTGAGTGTATATTTCTGTACATGCATTCATGCAGCATTGGAAACTATGAATAAGTGTAAGCTTGTGTTTGTGTGTGTGTGTGTGTTACCTGGCTCCTCTGTACGAACAGGTCGGTTCCAGCTCTGATGAAATCAGCAGCATCGAAGCAGGGCTCATGCTCAGTGGTCACAAATTTCCCCTCCGCAGCCAGTTTGTGTCTGTCCTCCACCGTGCGGATGGGGTAGTCCTGCACACAAACACGCTCACTGTGAAAAGGCCACAGCAGTACCTACAGTCTGCCACCAGAGGGAGTGCACAAATGTTGGTCACCTGATTACTTAGTTTACTGACAGATAAACCCAATAAACACAAAATATCTGCTTGACTTGCAGGTAATTGCAAGTTAAAGCTGTGAGTTTATATAGAACAATGTGCATACTTAAATGGTTCTCTGCATTGTGAAATGGTTCTTCAGATTGATGTAAAATGTGTTGCATATGGGTCTGTCTAGTACCAAAAAGGGTTTTGCTATTATGATGTCAGGCTTGTATTCAATAGAAGAACCTGTTTTGGTGCTATAGAGAACCATTTTTAGAAGTTCTCTTATATTTTTAGCTTTGCTAAGGTAGGTAAATAGTACAGAATTATTTTTTTTTAAACCCAGTTTTTCCTTCTAGCTTTTCTGTCACACAATCCCATCAGGCATTTTTTCCTCTTGGGTAATCACTTACGGATGGCTAAGGCATCGTTGGAGTTGCATTGACCCCACCAAACGAGGACTGTGCTTTACAATTTTAAGTTAGGCTGACTTCTAATTTTTTTACAGTGAAATGAAATGTGGATTTTTCCCCATAATGAGTCCTCTAAAAAGCTTAAAGTCAAGCCCTGACTACTAAGAAGTATTCAATAGCCACTAGAGGGCTCTACACTCTCAGTCTCTACTAAAAATATAAAGTGTGTCTTTAAGAATGTGAGTGTGCGAGTGTGAGAAAGCCCACCTGATCGTACAGTTCGTCAGCCATGGTGGGTTTGGGGGCGGTGGTCCATTTGGCTCCTTTCCTGAAGTACTCTTTAATGAGGGGTCTGTAGGCGCGATACTCAAAGAAACGTGCTCTCCACGCCATCGGAGCCTCAATGATCTCATTCCCCACCACCAGCAGGATGTCCCGAGGCATCGCGGCGTACATACCTACACACACACACGCACAAACATAAACACACACACACAAACATAAACACACGCCTTAAACACAACCTTACATGGCTGCATTCATAATATAGTGTTACATACTGTTTTCATCACTGAACCCATAGACATTCAATACAGGCCTGTTTGATTCATCAGCACTCAGTTCACTCTGACCATTCATACTAACAGTAAAGACTCTTACATAAAAGAAAACACTTAATAAACACGCAAATTATATATATATATATATATATATATATATATATATATATAAAAATGATAAAAAAATCTGCAAATTGGTAAAAATGAGAAAGAAAAAATGTTCTTAATATTGAATGTAAGTTAATAGGATGCTTTTTTTCCATGTACTTTTGGAGCATTTTTATTGTTTCACTGATCATGAAACTTTAACACCATGTAAAGATTGTACTTTTAAATCAAAAAACAATTTAGATAATTAGCGTGCAGAAAATTGCAGATGCAAGGATTTTTCAGACAGTAAATACACACATTTTGGTACATAATGAAAATAATTGTTTATTACAGTTATAATGCTTTTACAGAACGTTATGGCGGTTTTATTTCTATCCTTGTCTCACTCTCACCTGTAGAAGTGAAGTCGGGTGTTTTGTACTCCACAGACCAGTCGATGGGCTCTGGTCTTCGGACGATGACGCCTTCGTGACGCAGAATATTGCACATCTCCTCGATCTCAGCGATGGCTTTCTTCAGGTGCTCCTCAGGGAATGTCTGGCCACCGTACTTCTGATAAAACGGCCAATACTTTTCATACGTGTTGGCCTGTAAAACAACACACACAGAACAAACAGCCTGGAGTTCAGAACAGTGTTTACCACCTACAGCACACACACTATATACGTGGTTCTATATAGAATGTTTTTGAAAATAGTTCTACATAGCAGTGAAAAGGGTTCTCCTATTGTTATGATGTCAAGCTTGTAACAGTAGCAGAACCCTTTTTTAAGCTATATGGAACCATAGCACATGCTCCATCAATCTGCAGATTTCACAGTGCAGAGTACCATTTTAGCATGCCAATGATTCTTTGAGTGTTCATGGTTCTGTACAGGGCCATTTTCTTTACTAAAAACCCTTGAAGAACCATCTTAAAGTGTGTGTAGGGCTGGGTGATCTGACAATATATATAATTATTGTGATAAATGATGTCACAATACAATACAATATGCTTTTCTGATCATAATGTCAGTGCTTGTAAACACTGACCAACTGCATGTTTCATTATAAAGAGAGCAAAATTAGTCCCTTTAACTGGATTTAGCGTCTTATTTTTCAGTTTCAGCTGATCAGATGTCTGAGAAATGAACATTGTGATGTATTGTGTATCTTGAAAATTTCTTGAAGCATAGCAATATTATATTTTTGCCATATCGTCCAGCTCTATCTACATTTGACCACCTGAGCACTCAGTGTGAAAGCGTAGTTGCGGTGAAACTCACACAGCGGTGCGAGTGACCTCACCTTGACCTCAACGGTAAACGGTGGGACGCGAGCATTTTCGGCCCGGCCCACGATCACCTCCTCCAGAGGGTCCCACTCGTTGTATGCGCACACAGGGCACTCCTCCGCCTCCTCCTGGGGGCGGGGCTGCACCGCCGCAGCAGAGCTGGAGCTCCGAAACACATTCTGAACCAAACGGCTCATAGAGCGGCCGACCTGCAGATACAACACAGAGAGAAAGAGAGAGAGAGAGATACTAAACAAGTGAAGTGAAGTGAATAGATGAAGGACTGTATCAGTGAGTGTATAAATACATGAAGGTCTGCATACATGAGTGCATTAATTAACTAATGAATAATATATAATATATTATATTTATATGAATCATTTGAAGAAGAAGTAATATATGAAGTAATGAATACATGAATGTATAAATTAATGCATGAATGCTTACATGTATGTTTCTGAATGAATGGATGAATGAATGAATGTGTAAGTGAGTAAATGAAGCATTTATCAATGAAGAAATGAAATTTTATATATATATATATATATATATATATATATAATATATATTTATACACACACACACACACACATATATATATATACATATATATATATATATATATATGCACCCATTGAAAACACTAATGAATCAGTGAATCATGAAATAATGCGTGCATGAATGAATGCATGATGAATTAATGCTGCTCAGTCTCATGCTCTAATCTAAAGCCCCTCCCCTCTGTTACATAACTGCACAGAAACCCCACATGCACGGCGCAGGCCTAAAGGTTAAAGATCAAAGATCAAAGATCAAAGGCACATGTTGATGAGAGATAAGGACAGACGGCCAGTCAAACTGCCAGAAAAGATCTCGGCCCAAATTGAATCAGATGGCAGCAACTGTAGATTTACAGGTTCTCAGAGCTCAGCTTTCACTTTCAGCAGAGGAGCCTCAACTTCAGGAAACATTGTTTAAAACCAACTAATCCTGTTATAGCAATGACACTCGGACTGCAGGAGAGCAAGCAAAAAGCAGCTCATTACTCAAAATTCCTGCAGGGCTGGGTTCTCTGGCAGAACCACAGGGGAACGTCCAGCACCTCTCATCGCAGGAGCAGGTCTGAGTCTGACTTCTCTTTTGGCCTAAAATCAAATGCTAAAGCTCATCATGCAGTGATGATGATGACGGTTAAGATACTGACCAGGCTCCCAATGAGGTGGGCGGCCTCAGCCCCCCGGCTCCCTCCTCTCAGGCAGCGAACGCGCAGCATGTTCTCTCAAGTTTGGGACTGTAGTGCGGCGCGCGGCTCGCCAGGGGACTTTATATACTTCAGTCACGTGTGCAAAAAAAACCCTGTGAAAGCTGAACCCTTAAAGCAGCACATTTTTATCACCCCCCCCCCACCCCACTGGCCTGCTATCTGCCCTGCTGGGTTTGACGACGTGACGCACGTACACATACAGACCTCGTGCACGCTGCATTACAGCTGCACTTCAGCTCAGGGGGGTCGAATTCAGCACTGAACTGCACCCACACACATCTGCTTAGTTCTGTAACTTTCACTGTAAATCTGTCACTATTACACTAAACCACATTCTCTGCTTATACAGCAGCACCCAAAAGGTATCTGGATGCTTTTCCTCATGACTAAACTTTAGGTTACTTCATAAAATGTTGAATAAAATAGTGCTTGTTTGAGGTGTTTGAGGGGAAAACTACTTTTCGCACTTTTATGGTGACTCTTTATGAGGAGGAATCCTGCAGAGCAGACTGAGCTTCTGTAAAAACAGTCTGGAGCTGTTTTTCACACTTGGCCTCATAAAGGCTACAACATAGGGCTATCAGAACCAACACGGTGCAGAACACCAGAGCTCACACAGGACAGAGTCACTATTTTTCTTTCTGTTTGATATTTTATACGTAGCATGTTCAATTACAGCAATAGTTTAGCAAACACCATAAATGTAATCCCATTTGGAAAAAATAGATAGATAAACAGTGACAGTGTTGGAACGGTCTTAAAACTTAAAAACTTAAAACTTAAAACTGACTCTTATTTTGACATCTTGGTTCTGTAACAAAAACTTTTAAGTATGACAAAAATGTCTGAATACTTTTAGGGATCAGGTAGTGTACTGATCTTTTATAGTGCATTATAACCATTCTAGTCATTTCTACTGCACATTCTGCCATTCAGTGCTCACTACACTCCTTAAAAAATGGTTCTTCAGGGGTTCTTTAGTGAAGAAAATGGTTCTATATAGAACCGTGAACACTCAAACTACCCTTTGCATGATTACATGGTTCTTTGCATGATAAAATGGTTCTCTGCATGGTGAAATTGTTCTTCAGATTGATGGAGAATGTGTTTATATGGTTATATACAGAACCTTTTTGAAAAGGGTTCTATATAGCACCAAAGAGGGTTCTTCTATTGTCACAGGCTTGACATCATAACAGTAGAACCTTTTTGGTGCTATATAGAACCATATACAACACATTCTGAAGAACCTTCTCATGATGCAAATGGTTCTTAGAGTGTTCATGGTTCTATGTACTTTTTTCTTTACTAAATCATACATCATTTTAAGAGTGTACGGCTCAGAGATTTTAGCTCAAGTGTGTTTTGAACCCTGCAGGTCTTATTTAATGTTCTGAATTGTTTGTGTTTTGAAACTGTATTGATTGAATGATTGTCTGATTGATTAAAGCTGTCAACAAGCACCTTTAGCTGGTGTGGTGTTAACTGTAAGCCTGAATCATCACATTCCTGCCTCAAAGCCTCACTGAGTTGATACATTGTCTTAATAAAAACATTTTAAACTTAAACTGACTTTATCCTCGCAGTTCCAGAGCTCAAACTCAAAAATCAAATTTCAGACACCAAACACGTCGAGTGTATGTGTGGTGGGGGAGGTTCACTGAACTTTAGCTTATACTTATACTTTAGCTTAGTACATCTTAAAGTATAAAATAGCAAACAGAAAGTATAAAGCAATGACTCTGCCCTGCACGGGTTCTGGTGTTCTGCATCATGCCGGTTCTGAAGCCCTGTATGAGTGTGTGTGTGAGAAGCTGTGCAGACTGCTGGGTAAGCAGCGGCTCACCAACCAGCTCCCGTGTCTCCTCTACCTGACCATCTTATCTGCTATCACTGTAACCTTGAGGGGCTAAAAAAGTGTGTGAAAAGCACGTCTTGCACAGAATAAACCTGCTGGGCTGGACCTGGCCCTCCACAGAACCAGGGAAACCCGATTCTGCACTGCTGTCCCTGAGTGCCCCCCAACGCTACACTGCAACTGTTTTATTTGACTTTAGTTCACTTTTAACATAATTTTGTGTCAATTATTCATTTTATTTATTGTTTGATTTATTTTTTCATGAACCTTTATTTCTTGGCTGCAAATTTGCAATCATTTTACATCTTCTTTTATTTGTTTCATTAACTATGTTTTATATATATTTTATCTCTGCTAATTATTAAGTTATTATATTGTTGCAATTTTAATAGTTTCTAATTTGGTTGATTTTTTTTTTTACAATTAAATTTACCATTATGATTTTTTTTGTTTGTTTGTTTTTTAGCATTGATGCGTTTTTTCAAATTCAATTTCAAATTTTTCTGTGTTGGTTTAGCTACAATGTACATGAGTGTACCCTAAGTTTAAATAAAGGTTGATTGATTGATTGATTAATTAATTGATTGACACGAGTCAGATTGAATATTAGCAGTGCTGAATTAGTGCTAAGCACTGTAAGCATATTGTCACAGGTAAAAAAAAAGTTGTTTTTTTTAACACACTTTGAAAATGCTAGCTTCCCTTTTTGCTGTGTTCAAACGTCATGATGAACAGACGAAAAAAAAATCCAAAATTGCTTGGAATAAAATCTCATGGCAATAACTTAGACTGATAGTTTTGAAGGTTTTTCCTTCCGTTGTAATGTTACTAGTTTTGTTCCGTCCAAGGCTGAGAGCCAGGTGTGCTAGGTCTTTAGTGTCTGGCTTCAGGTTCGCTCTGACGAAAATAGTGTTATTTATAAACCTGATGTTCACAATTTGTGCATCATTATGCAAGCAGAGAAAAGTGTTAAAATGAAAGTAGCGTCCAATAGTGTCTGTAAACGCCATTCAAACACAGTAACAGTATTTTACTCTCAGAGCTCCGCCTCTTCCCCAGGTGACCCCCTTTACGTTGACATTCCGTGCTGTTGGTTCCCTAATTCAGTGTTTTGAGCTAGACAATAATTCTGCTGTAAAAAGTTTTGGCAGAAAATAACTTCATTTATTAATGTCGCTATCTCTTCATCACTAAACTTTCGTTTTCTCTTCTGTCCCGATCTTCTCGGACTCCGCGCTTTTTTGCTGCGCCTAAACGCTCCGTGTGTCGCAGTCAGTGGGCGGAGATGCGTGCAGTTTGCGTGATTTTAGCACTAGCAGCACTGTAAGTGCATGTTGTGCGCGTTTTTGTGCTTTGCTTTCTCACGTAAATGATGTGGCCCTTGGGGGTCAGCGGGTTTGAGCAGTTTATCAGAGCGTTAAAGTTTCCGCTGCTTTAAAGCGTCGTTATCAGGAGCAGATACAGCAGGAGTGACCCAATAAAAGAAGAAAAGCATCGATAAGACAGCAGGACTCAGCCTCTGCGCTGGATATGACGCAACACCTGTGTTCAAAACCTGCCAACAATGCAGCGTCAATACTGCCCAGGGGTCAAAGGTCAGAGAAAAGTATGTCAGACAACAGCTGTTTATTCACAACAAACAAAATAATCCATTAAACACACAGAACAGACTTCTGAAAGGATGCCATGCGAGTAGATCTGCGCTGAGTGAGTTCAGCTGCTTTAAGTTGGACATGATGCTGACACAGCTTGTATAATCACCACAGAAAAGCACTGACCAGTAGAATGAGAGCGGCTGCACATGAGACTCAGGTCACCAGTCTTAAAGGAACGGGTTACAAATCAGCTTGTAACTGTAATTCCATTACTTTTGGCCGCAAAGTTTAATTACACACTACTATAATCTAGAATAGCTCAGCCAGTTTGCACTAAAGTCCCTGTAGTTACTGAATAATAAGCCTACAGGCCTCAGCATACTTCTTGTGTAGATGAAGTTTGCCTAGCTTCAGCGAACAATATGGCGTAATTGCAGAGAAAATGAACAACTGTAGACGTCGCTTTGAGGCTTTGCTCATAGTGTTTCGCGCAAACGGCAGCTGGGTGAACTCTGTGGACAGAAACACTATGCGACAAAGTCTGTGAAAAAGAGGCGTGCCATGAAACAAAAATGGACGACTTTGAGGAGCTTCATTTTACAAGAAGTACGCTGAGCGCTTTGGCAGACACACCAGTATTTCACTGTGAAACACACATGTATTAAATAATCAATGAATACCACCTAATGGTAAGATGTCCAGTCTGTTATTCAGTAGTACTAACTTGTAGTGAGCATCAAAACATTCAGGTTATCTTATATTTAAATTCACAAAAGGATCACAAGAGGCTGAAGTTGTCTTCCTTGCCAGCTTCTTTTTCGAATTTTCCCATTCCACCTTAAATGGTGGCAGTATTCTGGACTCGCACATCGCCATAGTTGGAACTGTGATAGAATCGTTTTCCAGTAGTCGTGGAACTTACCACAAAATGTCATAGCGCCACCTGCATTAGCGGAGCACCCGTGACAGGCAACATGAAACCGCAGAAAATATTATGAACTTGTAAGCTTGTGAAGGTGCTTCGGCTTCACGAAACCCTCAAGAATTTTGTTTCGCAAGAAGTTTGCTGAGGCCTTTAGTATGTAATAAGACTGAGATTATGAGGGGTTAAATAACACAGTTACAATTACTGAAATTTAAATCAAGTCAAGCCAAGTCAAAGTTTATTTATACAGCGCTTTTTACAACAGGCGTTGTCCCAAAGCTGCTTTACAGAAAAATCTGTGTCCAAGAGCCCATAAGCGTCGCCAAAGGCAACAGTGACAAGAAAAAACTCCCCAACGGAGGGTCTCTGATCACTTCAGAGTTCGATCGGGGGACTAAATATTCACATTCCTCCTCACACACTAAGAGATAATCTGTGCCATCAGTCACTTCCGATTGAGCTCCCAACTTGGAAAATCGATTCAGACTGTTAAAATTCGTTGCAAGGGGCAAATTGGGGTTAAAATCATGCAAACAATTGTGTAGTGCAGGAACAGCCTAGGAGCAAGAGGAAGAAACCTTTAGAGAAGCCAAGACTTAAAAAGAGAACTGTCACCCCTCACTTTGTCCAGAACTCCAACTCCCAGAATCCTCACATGACCATGAACTCTCAGCCATCCAGCTATC